TGGGTTCACAGGCATTTCTCAAATGCTACAGAACTTCCTGATCGAGCAGCAGGTGTATTGCACCCAACGTCTCGTAGCAGAAAGAGAGCTTCTCGGGCTTCTGCAGCCCCTTTTATACCCGTTTCCCCAGGAGTGGGAGGCTATCCCCACTCCGCTGAGCCGTCCTTCGACAGCGCCCTCTCAATTTTACCCGATTTCCGCTCTCGAAGCTTCCCGGATACCTCTTGTTTACGGCATCACCCCCAAAGCCTCGTAAAACTACTTTTCTCGGGGAAGATCTTCCGATTTTCCCGCTTAATCTCCGCAGCGCCCTCTATTTTGGGTGCTCTGCTACTTCCCCAGATGCCCCGAGTGTCAACTGCGTGGAAAAACCCCGCTCTGTCCCCTCGGAACCCTCCGAGACGGGTTTCGAGAGCCTCCGCAAGTGGAAGAAATTTGAATTTCCCTCTTTTCGCGCTTCTGTTTGAATTTTTCCGCGTTAAAATTCGAAATGTTCGCCGTTTGCTCGAATTCGGGTATAGTGGCGCCATCTGTTGGAATCCCTTCTCTCAAGGAGTTACCTTCAAACGGCGTGCCACTTATCGGCGTGGTTCCATCGGTCGGTATGTTTTACCGACCGCCGCTCTGACCGCGGCAAGTTACCGACCCAGGATAAGTTACCCTGGCCAGTTACCCGTCGTGGAAATACCCGTCGGGGAGGCGTTAGATGTCGCCTACTACCCGATTTCGTGCTTCTACCACTCGGAGGTACCCTCAGGTACCTAGCCGACATAGGTCACTAATTAGAAAAATGATCTTATGTACTCGATTGTACATCGTTAGTACATGATTGTACAGTGATTTTTTTTGTTTGTACACCCACCAATTAATTTAAAAAAATTAATGAAGTTTTGGCATGATTCTAGCCGACAAAAATTTCAAACTGTTCAATCAGCTCAAGTTAGGGGTCTATCTCAAAGGAAATCGTTTGTACATTACGAATTTGATATTATTATCGTTTGTACAATCATCATTTATTAGTTAAAGCTGCGGTAAGTAATCATTGTCAACCCCCCCCTCGCCCCGCAGATCATTGTTAGTTCCTACGTTATCGACATTAATATTTACATACACTCTGGTCCGTTGTTTATATCGTTGTCCATATTATTATTCCATTATTTATCCCAATAAATGAACATTGAATGCTTCGAAGTTACAGTTTATTAAGCATCAATGGGTACATTCGTTTTTTTTTCGAGCACGGAGGAATACTTGTGTGCAGTGTTCTATCACCTTGCATTCTGACAAGTAGAAAGGGTTATGGTTGATTACAATCATTAGCAAAAAATTTACTAATGATTTGCACCAGGAGAAGGTCCGCCGATGTTGGCACATGCCGAGTGATTTCTCTCTTCGAGGGAGAAATTGGCAGTAAGTAAAATTGATTTTATTCCAAATTCAATCATTCATTCTCTTAATTTTTTTACAGTCGATTCCTTGTAAAAATTTCGTATAAATAAATGACATTAAATTTCTCATGCGCAAATTTTATATTTTCATTCAGTTACTTTCATTTGATTGATTCATTTTCCCTTTTGGAAGGCAAAATTCAATTTCACCGTTTATTAAGGGAAACTTGAATAAAACCTCAGACAAAATTCGTTTTTTTTCCAAGACTTGATCAGTAATGGCTGAATACCTTGCTCCCAAAAAATAAAAAAATTCTCTTAGACTCATCTCCCCGGCACCCATCTCACTAGGAGATTTTTCCACCGGAAGGACCTTCTAATGAACATCATGATTCTTTCATTTTTATGAATCTTTCAGATCAGATTAAAGTCAGAAGACCGACGAAGATGATTCATAAACATGCCCAATTCTTCGCAGTCAGGCCGGAGATGTTGAAGTCTGGGTGGCTGAAAGATATTCCGGAGCACTTGCTGGGATTTGAGAAGCAGCTTGGAAGGCTGGAGATGTTCTTGTCCGCAAAAATACCATCTTGGAGGGCTCATCAGTCTTGACTGATGCTGTGGTCGATCCCAGGATGTTCCTCGTGCAAACCGATGAGTCCGAGGGACCGTCCTTTGGGACGATTTTTGGAGTTGTGGGGGCTCAGGGAAATTCATGTGGGGCTGTGGCTGGGGCTGGTGCTGAGTGAGGAGGGCAACTTGGCAGTCATCACGCAGGCGTTGAAGTGCTCAGCTGCTGTTGTCCAGGTGACACCGTATGGGAGGATGAAGGGGGAACTCGCTGGGAAGCTGAGGAGGCACTGCAGGTAGGTCATGGCCTGGAAAAACTCAATTAACTTTTTTTTTCTAGTAATTTTGAGGTTTTTTTTACAATTCTCCATGGAATTACGATTTTCATATACTTTCTACTCCACAAGGATCCAACAGACCGAGTAGTCGCCCTCTCCGTCTTCGAGGCCTCCGCCAATGTCGAGAATATGACTCCAGACGTTCTGGACATCCTCTTCAGAAAGTCTGACGATACAAACCTCTCGAAACGCCCCCATCACAAACCCCAAGCGATGGAGAAAACAATGAAGAGGTCAACTGCTTCGGTCTAGAGTCCTCTCTGAATGATCATGATGTGCCAGAATGCCTGAGAGAGTCGACTGACCCTTGTGGCGACACCGAGGACTCCCCATTTATAGTCCAGATCTTTCTGAATAATATCTCAGAAGAGAAAATTCACGTGTCAGTGAGACGGCAGTCGTTCAAACTCCTGGGGGCTCTGATAAACTGCCTCGAGGGGAATTTCAAGGATTTCCTGGATGTTGAAGTAGTCACGGGGCACCTAGTGGAGGCCACCAGTGAGGCTGATCCTCAGGTTGCTCTTCACGCCTGCAAAGTCCTCGAAATCATCAGTTGTAAATTCAGTGGATGGAGTTCAGAGGGACAGAATGGACTCTTGACTTTTTAGAATACCGTTTTTGGGGCTGTCCTGAGGATTTCTCAGAGTGCAGAGACTGGATTGAGGGAATTCGCCTGCGACTCCTTCGGGACGATCAGCAATGAAGTCTTCACACAATTGTCCATGAGTGAAAATTAATTATCTCGAGGTTAGAATTTTTCGACTTCCGAATCTTTCCGAATTTTAAAATAATAAATTTCAGTTCGACAAGTCAATAATAATGAAGACAACGCTCTTTGGGGCCTGCAGAGACCCTGAATCAGCAGTGCGAGCTGCAGGTCTCCGAGCCCTAGGGATGCTGATAAACCTCCTCTCCCTTGAAGAGGACACTGGTTTCCTGGAGGACGTCACAGACATCGTCTGCACGTCCCTCGCCGACGAGAACTTCGGGGTCAGAGTGAAATTCGCCTGGGCCCTGGCCAGCCTCACAGACTACCTCATCAAGCAGGTCCTCAATGACAACGTCAAGCCCTTTCCCCTGCACCTCATCCTCCTCAAGCTCTACAAAACCAGTGTCCAAAGCAACAAGGTCAGGTGCAATGCCCTGAGGGCTGTGGGAAACGTTCTCTATCTGTCCCAGGGAATGAATCTTCGGAGGGACGTTCAGCTCGCCTTCGACGTTCTCATCTCATTCACCACTTCTGGCAATCACATGAAGGTCCGGTGGAATGCCTGCAGGCTCTGGGGTTCGCCATGAGTCATCATCCTGATGATATTTTCCCACAGAACTGGAAGGACCAGGCCATTCCTGCTTTGTGCGATCTGATCTGCCACAGTCCTAATTTCAAGTATTCTGAGGAGCATGCGCTGTCCCAATAAAAGTTGTGGGGAAAAGCAACGAAAACTATCGACATTTGCTCCTGACTTTCCATCACTGAGACGATATGGGTTCAAGGGTTTGAAAGACTCATTGAAGTTTTACGCAAAGCTTTGGAACGTGAAATGTCCTTGTGGAGCAGGCAGGCAAGAGGAGAATAATTCGAATTTTCATGTACTGTTGGAGCTTGATTGCAGGGCAAGTGCAAAAGGTGCTGGTGTTTCTTGCAAACTCTATGATATGCCGACATCTTTAAGATTTAGTCAAGAATATAGGTATGATAAATTTTCTGTAATTTATTTGAATTTATATTGATTACGAACTTCTCCAAGATTCTCTCTTGTACGTCTCAGTATTTATTCCGTTGACTTGAATTCAAACCTGATTTAAATATATCTTGGAATTCAGACGATTAAAAATAACAATATACAATTATTCCATCAGATTATCTGGACTCGTCGCATATGATCAGAAGTACGATCACTTCGTAGCCTATTGTCGTCGTCGTACTGGCAAATGGGAATGCCATAATGGACTACTCAGCAAAGTGCAACCTGTCAGAGGAAATCCAACAATTCGACCTGAATGCGCACTGTTTTTGATCAATCCAGATGAATTGTAGTCTTCAGTCGTAATAATCAAGAAATTATTAGGAGGAATGAAAAAAAAAATCACTTTTTTCTGTATGATTACGAAAATGTATTTTAGCACATCAAGTAATTGAAAACTAATTTCTATTTGAAACTGTTATCTGTGAACAAATTCACATAGTTATAGACAAACTAGATTTAGTTATTGAAGCAGAGGCGTGTATGCAATCATTACGTGGTATAATTAGAGTGCAAATGTACAGTGTACGTGTTATACGTAAGAATAACATTTTTTATAACAATTATTGTCCGGTAGGATTATTTCTAATACGTGTACACAATCTTCCTAATGAATGACATCTATGATAATTATTCTTTTCAATTAATCAATGTTTTTTTCATGACTTATCATTTTAAAAAATGTTGCAGAGCTTTGGAGTAATAGTTCATGGAGTTTATTGCAAGATAAATTGATGATCGGGTTCACTTTACCTTAAGAATAATTGAAATATTAAAAACACATGGAATTTTCAATTCAATGTCAAAGATAGAAGCAAAGCATCAGTTCTAATAAACACTTTATTTCTCTCATATTTTGTGAAAAAAAAATGATAAAAGTAGAAATGTATTGTATCTCTCTAACAAATGACATAATTTTTGAGATTTGGAGAAGTTTCTCTCATCCAGGGCGCCTAGTTTCCCTTGTGATACCTCTCATTTAAGCCAGAAATTCGTTTATCCTGAAATTAAAAAAATATATTTTATAAAAAAAAATTATTATTCATTATCAATAATAAAAATGATAAAATTTCAGAATAGTTTGTGTAATGATTTTATTTCAAATATTCATTATTTCTTCTCATTTTTTTATTGATTATTTCTTGACACAGCGAAGGGGTCGTTGAAAGTTATGGTTTTTGAGCTTTTTTATGGCAAATATAATGCTACTGGGATTACTTACTCGAATATCTCGTTCAGGCATGGTTTTAGTGAAAAATATGAAACTATCTTTCTTCTTGAAAATTGAATTTGCTGAAGAATATGTAGAGTGAAATTTTCCGCTGAAGTCAACAGTTAACGAGATATTGGCAAAATTAGTTGTTGAAAATTGTTTTTTTTTAATTTTATTGAAATTTTATTTTGATTTTCTTTCTATCAGGAACTCCTTGATGAAGAGTATTAGATGAAACTTGAAGAGAATTCTCCCTCGAGGCAGTTTATCAGAGCCCCCAGAAGTTTGAACGGCTGCAGTCTCGCTGGTGCGTGAATTTTTTTATCTGAGATGTTATTCAGAGAGATCTGGATTAGAAATGGGGAGTCCTCCGTATCTCTACGAGGTCCAGTCGACTCTCTCAGACATTCTGGCACATCAGAATCATTCAGCGAGGACTCTCGATCGGAGCAGTCGACCTCTTCGTTGTTTTCCCCATAGCTTGGAGCCTGTGATGGAGGGGATTGGGGGCTTTGCAGGCGTTTCGAGAGTTTCATATCGCCAGACTTGCTGAAGAGGATCTCCAGGATCTCTGGAGTCATATTCTCGACATTGGCGAAGGCCTCGAAGACGGAGAGGGCGACTACTCGGTCTGTTGGATCCTTGTGGAGTAGAAAGTATATGAAAATCGGAATTCCATGGAGAATTGTAAAAAAAAACCTCAAAATTACTAGAAAAAAAAAGTCAATTGAGTTTTTCCAGGCCATGACCCACCTGCAGTGCCTCCCCAGCTTCCCAGCGAGTCCCCCCTTTATCCTCCCATGCGGTGTCACCTGGACAACAGCATCTGAGCACTTCAACGCCCACATGAATTTCCCTGAGCCCCCACAACTCCAAAAATCGTCCCAAAGGACGTTCCCTCGTACTCATCGGTTTGCACGAGGAACATCCTGGGATCAACCACAGCATCAGTCAAGACTGATGAGCCCTCCAAGATGGTATTTTTGCGGACAAGAACATCTCCAGCCTTCCAAGCTGCTTCTCAAATCCCAGCAAGTGCTCCGGAATATCTTTCAGCCACCCAGACTTCAACATCTCCGGCCTGACTGCGAAGAATTGGGCATGTTTATGAATCATCTTCGTCGGTCTTCTGACTTTAATCTGATCTGAAAGATTCATAAAAATGAAAGAATCATGATGTTCATTAGAAGGTCCTTCCGGTGGAAAAATCTCCTAGTGAGATGGGTGCCGGGGAGATGAGTCTAAGAGAATTTTTTTATTTTTTGGGAGCAAGGTATTCAGCCATTACTGATCAAGTCTTGGAAAAAAAACGAATTTTGTCTGAGGTTTTATTCAAGTTTCCCTTAATAAACGGTGAAATTGAATTTTGCCTTCCAAAAGGGAAAATGAATCAATCAAATGAAAGTAACTGAATGAAAATATAAAATTTGCGCATGAGAAATTTAATGTCATTTATTTATACGAAATTTTTACAAGGAATCGACTGTAAAAAAATTAAGAGAATGAATGATTGAATTTGGAATAAAATCAATTTTACTTACTGCCAATTTCTCCCTCGAAGAGAGAAATCACTCGGCATGTGCCAACATCGGCGGACCTTCTCCTGGTGCAAATCATTAGTAAATTTTTTGCTAATGATTGTAATCAACCATAACCCTTTCTACCTGTCAGAATGCAAGGTGATAGAACACTGCACACAAGTATTCCTCCGTGCTCGAAAAAAAAACGAATGTACCCATTGATGCTTAATAAACTGTAACTTCGAAGCATTCAATGTTCATTTATTGGGATAAATAATGGAATAATAATATGGACAACGATATAAACAACGGACCAGAGTGTATGTAAATATTAATGTCGATAACGTAGGAACTACCAATGATCTGCTGGGCGAGGGGGGGGTTGACAATGATTACTTACCGCAGCTTTAACTAATAAATGATGATTGTACAAACGATAATAATATCAAATTCGTAATGTACAAACGATTTCCTTTGAGATAGACCCCTAACTTGAGCTGATTGAACAGTTTGAAATTTTTGTCGGCTAGAATCATGCCAAAACTTCATTAATTTTTTTAAATTAATTGGTGGGTGTACAAACAAAAAAAATCACTGTACAATCATGTACTAACGATGTACAATCGAGTACATAAGATCATTTTTCTAATTAGTGACCTATGTCGGCTAGGTACCTGGGGGTCTCGGAGGTGTCAGAGCACGTGCCCGTGGAATTTTTGTGTGGAGCTTTCGTCCGTAACACTCGTTTTCCAGGCTATTCAGCCCTTCAAACGAAACTTACTCGCCCCATGGTCTTTTCAGACCACTTGAGTGCCTTTGCTCACCCTTTCTCAGGGCGCAGGTGGCCTTTTCAGGCCACTCTTCTCCTCAGCTTCCCCGGGGCACGATTCCTATAACAAAAAAAAACATCTATTTTGTTGTGCCCAGTGCAGCTGTCCGGGACTATCCGTCCACTCTAGGTGGACCCTGGGCCCCTCTTCTTCTCGGAGGACTTTTCCTCCTCCTCCAGGCACAACTTCTGTGCCCTTCGACGCAGGTTCCTTATCTCGCGTCTCCTCCTGCGAGCCTCCTCAGAGCGAACGGACGATGATGCCCCCTCCCTCTGCCTTCTCTCCTTGGCCTCCTTCGCCTGGGCCTTGAGAATGTCCCGAGGGACATTACGGCCACGCTTGGGAATCCAAGGGCCCCGCCTCTTCTTCTCCTCCTGGCAGGGGATGCAGTCCCTGGGTTCCTTCCCAGGGCGTCCACACCTCCAACAATAAATCGTTAGGGGTGCAGGGCAGTTCTTCCCCTCGTGTCCTGGCCGACGGCAGTTCCAGCACAGGTGTGCTGGCAGCAGGCTCACTCGAGCTTTCCTCTCACGGGTCTCCTCACCCCCACGAGCATCCCTTTCGAGTTCCGACCTCCTGTCGACACTGCCACTGTCCACAGGAGTGTTTCTCTTGGGGACCCTCGGGGCGGTGAGAGGCCCCGCCGACCCTTCGGCTCCCTTCGCCAGGATCCTCTGGCGTATCTCCCTCTCCGTCTGCAAGGAGTCGGCGTTGGCAGGGCGTGAGGCCCTTTTCTCCCTCTGCTTGGGCTCCCTTCCCATCGTCAGGTCCCTCTGATTCCCCGGCAGGACCGAGGAGGTCGAAGGTCCCCGATTCAGGTAGGGGAGAAACTGTTCGGCCATCTTGACGAGGAGCTGAGGGTTCGTGGCGAGCGCCTCAGCGACAGCCCTCGCCAGGGTGGCCGTAGCATCCTCGGGGGAAGAGAGTTCCCCCGCTGCCTTCTCCGTCTCCTTCTGGAGCACCGCTTCCTGAGGTGCGGTGGGCGTAGCCACGGGCGTGGCCGTGGGCGTCACCGCGGACGTGGCTATGGGCGTGGCCTCCGACGATGTGGGTGTCGCCGAAGGAGGCGGCGTAAGGACTGCTGCCGACACCTGCTCCACGAGGTCCACGTCCATCTTCTCCCCGAGTTCGGCGTTGATGAGCTCCTCCAGGTCGCCCATCTCCTCGTCCGAGAGCTCCCGATCTGCAAAATGCACTAGAGGCAATTCAGGTAACTCTCGTAACACTAACGAGTCCCCCTCGCCCTTCGGCAACGGGGCCTCGTTTACTAACTCCTCGACTTCCATGTCGAGGCACTTCTCCCTTAGGGTCAAACTTACCCTTGAGAGCCTCCTCGGCGGTCTCCACTACCTTCTGAGCCAGTCCGTCGAACACTTGGTCCTTGGCCATTGCTTCACCGGGTTGTTCACCGCGTGCAACTTAACAACGTCGAGCGTCAAAAGAATTCCGTCCGTACGGGATGAGGTTCGGAACGAAAAAGAACGTTCCTCGTGCTCGATACCCCGAATCCGACAGGACTCGGGGGTGGGGGATTAAAGGGCCCATCGCAATTAGGAAATTGCCACAGGTGGTCCCCCCTGGTGACATTCGACCCATATTTGCATATGGGCGCGCTCTTTTAAATACCTGAGATGACCTGTCAATCACAGGTATTTAAACTTTCACCCCTTGACTCGGCCCGTCAAGTGGCGCGCCCCTGCGGGCGGAATCTATACTTATGAACACCGTCGGTCGGTAACGTTACCCCCGGAAGAGTGACTGTTGTACCAACCGAGCGATAATTCAGTTTCGGTTAATAATTTTCTGTTTTTTTCCGTTTCTTTCGATATTTCCCATCGGAAAAAGCCCCTTTCCGGCTCCTAGGCCATTCCTCCCCCGGGCGAATGAGGAGAACAGCGTTCGNACCCCTTGACTCGGCCCGTCAAGTGGCGCGCCCCTGCGGGCGGAATCTATACTTATGAACACCGTCGGTCGGTAACGTTACCCCCGGAAGAGTGACTGTTGTACCAACCGAACGATAATTCAGTTTCGGTTAATAATTTTCTGTTTTTTTCCGTTTCTTTCGATATTTCCCATCGGA